CGTGACCGCGACCCTCCACGCACATGTGATGCTGCCTTTATGCACAGCGACTCCATGAACATGTCCACCCCCTGCCTCTGCCACCACCATGGAGTCTGCACATCTCATCCACGCCCACGACCACGCCCGCACTGCCGCGACCGCCACCAGCACCAACAGCGTCGCAACCGCGGGGCAGGAGCATGACCTCGCCGCGACCGCCTTCCACAAGGCCACCCAAGATACCCACGATGCTGAGGTATGTAGTCTGAATCAGGCTATCCCCACCTGTCTAAAGCGTTGCAGGCCCTCCGCATCCTCAGTCTCCTCGAAGACCACCACCGCAAGCTTGCCGGCCTGATCAAAGAAGCGCCGCGCAAGGACAAGAAGAAGACGGACGCTGCCAAACAGCCCTCCGACCTGTCCGCCGCCTCTACCTCGCCAAACACGTCGTCGTCGCGAGCCTCTCCGGCCAACACATCTTCTCCGACACCCCCGACGTCCCGCCGCAGACTGCCCCAGTCCTCGATAGCCACCAACCTCGCCGAGAAGCGCGGCATCCCCAGCGCGAAGAGAACCACCAGTGGCGCGTCAGCAAACATACCCAGCACCACAGTCGGCCGGAATGAGCAGCCTTCCACGCCCGTGCGCGATCTACTGGCGCAGCAGTCGCGCAAAGCAGAGTCGAGTGCCACCAGAGACTCAGCGAAGCAGCTGAAAGGCGCCTCTCCACAACCTGCGTCTCCGCCCGCAGAGGACAACTTTAGTCGCTTCTACTCGGCGTTTGGGGGTGTCATATCCGCCATCAGCGCTCCTCTAGCCTTCACCTCCCTTCCCCTCAACCCCTCCGCTCCAACGCCTGTGTCGGAGACACCTAGGGAAGAGAAATCGTCCAAGACCAAGTCCCGAACGCACTCCCCAGAAGCGTCCAGAACCGTCAAATCCTCAGTACCAGATCTCGCTGCCTTGATCAGCAAGCCAGCACTCCGCGCCCTGAGAGAGGATGGCGCACCCGGGCCCAACGAGAGCTTCTACCTGGTGCCAACATCGAGCGGAGCAGTCACATACGCCAGCATCCTTCGCGATCCGAACGCGCCGAATGCACCGAACACACAGCTCAATGCCATAGATGAGGGATCGGGCTCGCTGAGAGGCAGTTCACACGAAGAGTTCGTCGACGCGAGAGAGAATGTAGGCCCGCCGTCGCCCACCAAAGCACGCCGTCCCCCTTCCCGCGGCAGTTCCAGCACATCCGTGACACCCCAGCGCTCCATACCAGCCGGCAGAGGCTCAGGCCTCAAGACCATGGAGGAGCTAGCCCTAGAAAACGACACGCTGAAATCCGTCATCGACAAACAAGCCAAGCGCATCCAGATGTGGGAACTCAACTCCCAGAACTCCTTCAACGCCCTCGCACAGTCCTTCCGTGCCCGAGGACCCGGGCGTGGCTCCAGCGATCCCAATGCTCTCGCCCACGCCCTCGCTTCTCAAGGCATCAACACCCTTCCTGCTCTCCCGTCGCCTCCCATACCAGGCCACCCCCAACAACGACCTACTTCCCCCGGTCAGCCTCCAACATCCACCCCCGACGCCGATGCCGCGAAACGCATCGCCGAACTCGAAGCCAGGGTCGCCTCGCAAGACGCAAAGTACAACGATTTGTTGAGTGCCAATGAGAAGCTGGCCAAGCAAAGCGAAAGGGACAAGCAGGTGCTGAGCAGATATAGAGAACAATGGGAGAAACTAAAGGCGGGCGCGAGGAAGAAGGAGCAAGAAAGGCGGGAGAGGAGGGTTCCGGATGGCAAGGTGGAGGAGTCGATGAAAGAAAGTGTGGCTACTGAGACACAAGGGGAGGGGGAAGGGGAAGAGGAGTTGGAGGAGGAGCCTGGGTTTGGAAAGGCTTGAACTCGCACTCCCGGTGAGGTCAAGATGAGAAAGTACATATCAAGATACCCCAAGCTAGTACAGCTAGCCGAAATAGAATACAGACACATATACAAACATCACTTTCCATATACCAATCGCGTTCGCACAGTACACATTTCCATGAAAATTGCATTACTATAGAAATACCCAAGGCCTGGTCAAGATCCGCCTTTCGACCCGACATATCTTCCTTGTCAATTTATCCCCCTGTTCCCATAACGCCGCCATAGCCATTCCCTCAAAATCCTTAAAACGCAACCAACACATTGCCATCAGACATGATACCGAACCAGTCTAAGCAGCAGAAGCAACGGGCTTCTGCATGATGGGCTGGTAGGAAGGAGCGACGGGTCCGCCCACCGTAATATCCTGGTTTTCCATGCCCGCTGCGTGACCCTCAAAGTCTGGCGCATCGGGGTGGCAGCCAACGCGCTCCTTGCTCAGCAAGTCCACAAGAAGAGGGCTGGGCTTGTTGCTCTTGTCAGAGAACTGGTTGTTCTTGTACTGCGCCACGTTCTCCATGTACTTGTCGAAGAGGTACGCAGAGTCAAGAGGGCCACCCTTGGCTTCGGGATGGAACTGGGCACTGAAGATGGGACGCGAGTTGTGGATCAGACCCTCGTTAGACTGGTCGTTGAGGTTGGTGAAGTACTCCCTCCATTCGCTGGACAAGGTAGTTGGGTCGACCGCGTATCCGTGGTTCTGCGAAGTGATGTGGCACTTGCCGGTGGTGAGGTCGAGAGCCGGGATGTTGTGAGCACGGTTACCGTACTTGAGCTTGATGGTCTTTGCACCGGCAGCAAGGGCGATGAGCTGGTGACCCATGCAGATGCCCATGACGGGGATCTGGGAGGTCTCGAACAGCTTGCGAAGGTTATGGACGGTGGTGGTGCAGTGAGTTGGGTCACCAGGGCCGTTGGAGATGAAGACACCGTCGAAGTGGTGGGCGACCTTGTGGATGGGGTAGTCGAAGGGGAAGCAGGTGACGCTGGCACCGCGAGAGACAAGACTGCGGAGGATGTTCTCCTTAACACCACAGTCGATCAGAGCTACGTGCATGTCGCCCAGGGAAGAGCTGACGTGGAAGGGAGCCTTGGTCGATACACGACGCACGAGGTTGATAGCCTCAGGGTCAATGTACGCCTCATCCTCGTCGGCGTCATACTCTTCGCCGATCGAGATACGAGCAAGAGAAGAACCCTGCTCACGGAGGTATGTTACAACCTCACGAGTGTCAACGCCGGAGATGGCGGGAACACCCTCTCGTGCACACCATTGTGCGAGTGACTCTACAGCAGTCCAGTGGCTGTGCTTCAGAGCATAGTCCTGGACCACAATGCCAGAGGCTTGGATGTGTGGGGATTCGAAGTATCGGAGCAAGCCGTGCTCGTCGCGGGCGTTGGAGGGGACGCCGTAGTTGCCGATCAGCGGCTGTGTGAAGACGAGGATCTGGCCACGGTAGGAGGGGTCGGTCATGGACTCGGGGTAACCGACGAGAGAGGTTGTGAAGACGGCTTCACCGGAGATGTTCGTCTTGGCTCCGAAAGACTTGCCTTCGAAGATGGGGCCGTTCTAGTCAGCTGTTAGTGATGTGCCGAGATCTGCAGTATGACTCAACGCACCTTGATGGTGAAGGTAGCGGGCTCGTTGGAGACAGCTGTAGCCCTGCGCATGCTGGGAGTAGGAATGGCACGTTGCGTGTTTCCTTCCACAGTAGCGAGGCAGCGTGCCTGTACACGGTTCTGTGTCATTCGTCCCAGGAACCCTGCGGACCGCATGGTGGAAGGCTTGATCATTTGCGACAACATGATGAGCGGAGATGTGAGGAGATGTAGTGATTCGTTTGGTGGCAGCTTGGGCAGGCGTTCAGTTTACTGAGGCCTTCCACAGGTGGTCTGCGGATAGAGTCAGTCTGACGCTCACGACGCGTCTAGCTACGGGCGACATCGTACCTGACAGGTAATCCTATGGTGTTCAATTAGCCACAGTCATGATAGAAGAATCGAAGAAAAAAATCAAGAGACGAATGCATCGATCGTCAAGCCACCAAGAGGCAGAAAGGCCGGCGGTGAATTGACGGTGTGCGATGCAGGTCCCGATAAGGGCTCATCAACCATCGCAGTAGTGACATACCTGGGAAGTGAAGACTGTCGGGGCAGCTTTCATAAGCGCGGTAGTAGAGCCAGTCGAGGTCCAAAGGGGCTGCCTATCTGAGGCGAAGCTTGACGTGCTAGCTTTGAAGGTGTTGAGTTTGCGTGAGGTGAGGATGGAGAGTAATCGGAGGGGCTTTTCTGCCCCAGCACCAGAATCGCGCTAAGGCGCAATGACACGCACCTGCGCCAATGACAACCTTTACAATATACTTTCGGCCACGATAACGATAGGTCGCAAAGTTTCTTCAACACAGGATCCATATGCTATGACAAACATCCGGGGAAACTGGACGATGAATGCCGGTCCCGCTATCAGGTCTCTTTGAGCCTTACCTGGCTATCGCGTAGCGTATGCTGTCCTCTAGTACTGTCGCGAGAGTCTGGTAAAGGTTGTATCTTACCGTCCAGCATTGAGGCTACAAGAATACTCACATCAATCTATCTATTAGGCCAAGTAACACGTCGGCTTCAGGACCGCTGTAAAAGATGTGTTTATAGTTGTCCAGCCGTTGCGCCTTGAAGCTTGACTACCGCCTGGCATAGGGTATGACGAGCATTTTTCATCTAATGTGGCGTCTTATCTTGTCGATCGCAGCCTGAAAGTGTTCTAAGGGGAGGATTTTACGGTATCCGCACACAAATGAGGAGTGACTGTCACAGTTTTGCTTTGTCCCGATATCGGCATCATGACGATCGAAAGCTTCATAATTTGCCGAACATGTCTCCGCACATCCGCTGAATCCGCATGTCAGCCCCTGAGAACAACACACGACTTGAATTCCCTGGGGGCGGCATCTACAGAATTCATTGCGGCGGGTTATAGCAATTACGATGTTCACAGATTTTTTCTTGAGGTCTTTTTAAGCAATCTCTGTATTTCTACTCGACTATTGAGCACAGTGGATGCACTTCTCTCAACCAGTGGCCTTTCCACATCAATCACTAAACAGTGATCTTACCTGTCAGCCTCACATCCCTGGAACTCGATCCTACAAAGATCTTGTACTCTCCAGTCGCAACGCTCCACTTCCTGGTCTTCTCATCCCAGAAGCTCATATCCCTTCTCCTCAGCTTGAAAGTAGCAGTTCCGCTCGCACCAGCTGCCAACTTGAGCTTCGCAAAACCCCTCAATTGCTTGGGAGGCGAGTTGGTCGACGCAGGGTACCCGAGATACAATTGCGGAACTTCTGCACCTGCAACACCACCAGAGTTGTTGATCTTGGCTGTGATGGTGGCGACCGTCTCGAAAAGATCGACAGGGCCTCCGGGACCCTTGGCACCAGTTGCGGGACCAGCCGAGGGCTTGCCTGAGACGCTGAGGTCGGAGTAGGTGAAGTTGGTGTAGGAGAGACCGAAGCCAAACTCGAATCTGGGTGTAATGTTCTGCTGGTCAAAACGACGGTAGTCGATGAAGAGATCCCAGTTCTTGTCGTCGCCCCTGGCAATGGTGGTGCCGTAGTCTGATTCTTTCTTCGCAATGGTGTAGGGGAGCTTGCCGCTTGGCGAGGCGGCGCCGTACAAGATGTCGACGAGGCCGTTTCCGGATTCCTGACCTGGCAGGCCTGCCCAAACAACAGCTACTACGTTCGGGTTTTCGATCTACGCAAGTTAGTGGATGTCTTACATGCAGTTTGCGAGTTGGATTCTTACCCATTGTTCCATGATGACGGGACCGACGCTGTGGACCACGACGACGGTCTTCTTGTTGACGGCAGCAACTGCCTTGACCAACTCGTTTCCGTTGTGCCACGGGTCGAGGTTAGTTCGGTCGCCGGCGTTGCCCTCGACAGTGATGTATCCCTCGCCACCATCGCTGTTGATGCACACGACAGCTACGTCAGCGTTCTGAGCTGCACTAGCGCCCTGTTGCGCATTGTCGTTTGGTGAAGAGGTGATGGTTGTGCCGTCTTTCTGAGCTTGCGTCTTCATGGCATCGAGAGGAGCGATGAGGTAGGGGAACTCTACTGATCCAGAGCCCCAACCCATGGCTAGTGTGCCGTCGTTGCATCCGCGATCAACGCATGCGTTAGCTCCCTTGGGCGCAACGATGCTGTCGCTTCCGATGACAGCGATGCTCTTGGGCTTCTTGAAGGGTAGTGTAGCGTTTGTGTTCTTCAACAAGACGATACCATCGCGAGCCGTAGCACGAACGTTTGTCTTGTGGTTGCCACCGACCTGGCGAGTGCCGATGTTCCAGGAGCTAAAGGTGGCATTGGGATAGCCCTTGTCCTGACCAAGGAGGTACCAGGAAGAGAGCACGCGCTTGACCATGTCATCGAGGCGAGATTGTTGAACCTGCTTTTTGTCGATGGCGGACTGAAGCTGTGGGCCCCAGAAAACGTTGCCTCCACTGAAGTCGGTGCCGGGCATGGTCATGTCCATTCCGCCGTTTGCACTACCGGTCGTCGTGTGTTGGGCTGAATGAGGTCAGCTTGGGTACCAGAGGTGATGAGTGTACAAATGACTTACCATTCCAGTCACTCATGATGTATCCACGATGACCAAGTTCGTCTTTCAGGAGCTTGTTCATCACACCATCGCTCTCGCAGGCCCAAGTTCCGTTGACCTTGTTGTAACTGCACATAAAGGCTGCGACGTTGCTGTGGACTGCATCCATGAATGGCCATACATAGAGCTCGCGAAGCACTCGATCCGACACGTCTGAGCTCATAGTCTCTCGGTTGAGCTCTTGTTCGTTGACAATCCAGTGCTTAGCTGTCGCTTGAACACCGGATTCTTGCATACCCTCAATGGTCTCTGCCATCATAATGCCTTGGAGGTAGGGATCGGAACCGAATCCTTCCCAGTTTCGGCCACCGTTGGCAAACTTTCCGAGAGGTCCAGCTGAAGGCCCGAGCTGAACGTGGACGCCCAGCTCCTTTGCTTCAGCACCAAGGAAGGCGCCGCGTTCACGAATGAGATCGAGGTCCCAGGTGCTGGCGGCATGGATAGCTGCACTGAATGCAGTTACACCTTGGATGTAGCGAACGCCGAGGGGTCCATCTTGAGGCTGTTAGTAAGAACCCTGTTTCGAATGTACACATGCAGTAAGCAGGCGTTGAGAAGTGGGTTCGACGTGACCTGGCCACGCTCCAAGTTCCAAGCACCGAAGTCGCTGAACACAACATATTCGTAGGGTCACAGCATCTTGACTCTGATGCCACAAACCACGGGTCGGCTCGAAAGTAGTGAGACATATTTGCTTACCTTGCAGACAGAGCGACGGATATCCAATCGAGGCAGCCGGTTTGGTGTTGCCAACGCAGTTACCGTTCTGCCAGCCAACACCCGTAACGATGCCGATCTTCTCGCTCTGTGATAGTTTTGCAAGAGCAGCAGTCGCTTTCGCATGGGCATCGTCCCAGTTCCCTACGGCACGCTTCGAAGAAAGTAATTCGGACGGAATGGCTGCATATGTTAGTAGTGACCACGTAGTTGCATGTATCATAGATGTAGGTACCTGAAGCTTGCGACAAAGCAGCCGTAGCGAGCACAGGAAGAATAAAAGAACGCATCGTGCTCGAGATCTCAACGGTCTAAAAGCTGTACAGGAAACCGTATGGATCGCAAACATTCGCTCGGGCATGTCTCCTATTAAATACCCGCGGATCGTCCATGCTGCGCAACGCACAAGCCCGAGACTGTTGTTTTTCGTCAAAATTGGCCCTTGGCGAAATGCCAGCATCCAGCACGGTAACCCCAGACCCCAAGAAACTTACAAGCCGCATGACGTGTGATGTAGAGGGGTGATCGTTGAATTAGATGAGACGGTGAGAGGGAGTAAATGGAGGCGGGCCGTTGACCCAGGGTCTACAGCCGGTGACTAGGGTCAGCCGCGAATCAAACTTCGGAACACTGCATCACAAGCGGATGTTGCCCCGATAAACAATTACTGCACCCTTGATATTCGCAGTGGACGTTGTGGGGAACATGCGGCTCAGTCGTGTGATGGTTAATGAACTGCTTAGGTGAACTAGTCTGATCAAGTGATGGTCTCTGCTATTCGCTAACCCGAGGACCCTAGTAATACAGGACGCTACATCGCGCCCAAGGGCTTAGCACAAACTTACTGCAATAGGAGCGAAGTTACTTAATTGCAGGCCTTCAAGGGTCAATTGCTTGAACGGCCTTGTACACTTAGCCTTTGCGCATTGTGGTGTGGAGCTTCCGTGCTTCCACCCGCCCTGCCTGTGCTGGCATTGCGGAAAAGTAGCGTATGCCTCAACGTACAACATGCTTTCCAGTCTAAATCTCCTGTCAGCACTGCAAAAATTGTATGCATGTCTCAGACACCTACATGACTACAAAGTTGGCATCGTGGGAAGATATTCGCCTGTTGTAGCACTCTGCCTGTCGTCACAAGGCCTGCGCATTTGTGCTAAGCCTGACGTTTGGCGGGTACTGAGTCATTTGTCGCTTGAGTTGTAAGACTTTTACCAGACATAAAGATCCTCAGGAGTAGTCAGCGTATTCGCAGTCATCGTCCAGTCGTAAGCAGTATGCGCACGATGGCCTTTCTTCTGTACACTTCCGTCGTCTCTGCTTGCAGTTAAGACAGCCGTTTTTGGAGCGCTTCTTATTGTTCAACACTTCATACTGACAGGTCCATAGTCCTCGTCGGCACTGGTTGCACGTCGGTTTCGCCTCGTTGCATTTGATCTTCTTTCCGCGACAGCGGATGCAAGCTTTGCCAGGAGCAGGTAGCGACGGCGGTGATGGTTCACTGACAGGCGCCTTTTTCCTCGATTTGGTGGGTGATGCAGGCGATTTGGCATTCTTGCTCTTCTTGGTGGATGGTTTCCGCACAGTCCTAGGAGAGGCCAAGGCACCACTTCCCTTGCGCCTCTTCTTCGTCGATGAACTTGGAGCTTCCGGAGACGTTGACATGTCCATATCTGGGTCCCCGAAGTCGTTGTCTGCTTCAACAACATTCTTTTTACTACGTTTCCTTTTGCGCGGTTCCTTTTCTTCCGTAGCAGCGGCAGTGGGAGCAACGCCGTTATCTGTGGCTAAGGCAGGTAGGCTGTTAGAAGTTAGTTTGGATGTCGCTCAACCAGTGTCTTTTGCTGCGCCAACGTACCCGGCATCAATCTCGCGGGTGGTATGGATAGGATTATGCTTATACACGACATTTATGGCCTCTCTCTTGAGTGAGAATTTGATGTGTATTGCGCCTCCGCAGTCGTAGGTCGGCAGTACAGCGGGCCCCTGCTTGTTGACTCCAGCCTCGTCGTCGTCGCTATCGTGAGACCTTTCTTTCTTGAGGTTGCTTTTGCGATTCTGGACGCTGTCTTGGCAAACATACTACTATCGTCAGCCACAACGAGAAACTGATCATATCCTTGGCAGTGCCTTACCTTGAGCCTGGCACCATCACCGCCTTCTTTACTCTGCGCAGAGCGCTCGGAGTACTTGAAACCATCGGTGTCCTGAATGGCTTCGATGATGGATCTATCGTGCATAAGCGGGCATAGTGCAGATATGTGGGCTCAAGTACCTCGCTACTGCTCGCTGCACTTTGAGCCTGTCTTTGCCGTCAATGTCACGACACAGCGCGTACTCGGCAGCAATGCTCTGAAGGTGATCGGCTGGCTGTATGAGCGCGTCAAGGCTCGGCTGCTGCGTCACGGGGATGGTGATGGTTGAGGCTGTCGCAAAAATGAACTCGGTCACCACGTCTGTGGGAATGAAGCTGGCTGCGTTCTTGTCCAGCTCATTGCGCAGAGCTCCCTCCAGTGACTGTTACATGACAGTTTAGCTACGTCGATACAGATTGCGAAGATGATATTACTTCGAGCGTAGGACAGCGGTAGTAGACATCGGGACTCAGCCCCTTGTGAAAACGAAGATCCAATTCGTCTTCGAGGTCATCCATGGCAGCACTGTCATAGAATAGATTGAGGCGCGACGGCTAAGTGATGTGCGGCGCCGCTCTCGTGCGTGATGCAACCGTGAGATGAGACGAATGGAGACAGATGGGGAGGGAGCGCCCTAGCTCCCGGGAGACGAGGTTGTTCCGTGCCGAGGCGAGATGCTGATTGGGCGAGCCGGGGTCTGCCAAGGTTGCCCTGCAGCATTCTAAGATTCGACTCAATCGGCAATGGGTCAAGCTGCACCTGGCTCGCATGTCGCGTGAATGAGCTGTCTGTGGGCGAGTACATAGGGGTGTGCGCTTAGGGCAATATACCAGCTTTGGCCGAAGCCAGCGGAGGTGTGTTGTAAAGAAGGGCTGCCGATCCTGGACGTGTTGTATGCTACTACGGATGATTCATTACAGGCCGACTTCTTGCGCAAACACCGCCCGGCCATGCTATTAGAGGACGATCAGCCACGTTGTCCATGTGCACGGTTCGTTCCCAAATCTGGGGCTCACTGAGCTTGTCCGGGATCTCGCTGGGCGATAGGTAGCATGCGCGCTGGCATCTAGAGGCAGCGTGTATTCACGCCGTGCCTCGCTGCGTCTATCAAGCCAATGTCGGGCGGTGTTGGTGGTGGGGTCCTGTCTGCGGCGCTGCAGCAATGGGTCTGCCACGCGTTGGGTGATTCCAAGGCGCCCCAGGTCTGGCCAGCAGAGGCCGCAAAATAGGGCTTGAAATTGTGCAGCCGTACATAATAAGCCGTCTCCGAGCTACGGGCGGGAGCCGATGCAAGGCTATGATAACAGCCCTAGGCCGCTTTCACTGATTGGCGTCTTCCAGCTCAAGGGATTCGGCTGCCGTAGCTAGAGCGCAACCTCACTCACGCCCTCCAAACGTCCCGTCGCCCTCTGTGAACTCGCCCCGTCGCTGGCTGCTGCTGCGCCTGTACTGTCCTTGTCCGGTCGCGTGCCTCGTCGCTAGCACTGCCTCAATCGCTCGCCGCATTGTCCGCCCACCGGCTCACCAGAACCTGGACCAAGTCTAACGGGTGGTGTTTCACGCTCCAACCCACGTAGCACCCGCCGCCGCCGCCGTCTGCACGAGGACTCATAGGTACGCCTGCCCGAGTCTGCCATCACAGCCCGCGCCAGCAATTGTGAGACTGACCCGTCTGCCAGACGCTCCCGGCTCCCTGGAACCCCTCGTTTGAGCCCATAGCTCCCATCTCCGCACGACCACGACCCTGAGCCTGCGTAGCGACAGCTCCGCCCCATCTCCGCACGCCTATCTCGAATTTTGGTAGCCGACGTGCCTCCAAACAAACATCCATAGCCTCGAAACAAATCCCAGCCTGCCTTCACCATGGTGGTCGCGACAATCAAGTACGCGAAGCCCAACATGCCCGGCGTGCGACCGCCATGCTCCAGATGCTAGTGCTTACTACCCTACAGGTGCGTCGTCGTCGGCGACGGTGCGGTCGGAAAGACATGTCTTCTTATCAGTTATACCACGAACAAGTTCCCCTCGGAATATGTCCCTACAGTCTTCGACAACTACGCCGTGACCGTCATGTGAGCTTCCCTCTGCTCTTTGTACAATTTGGAGTAGCGGCAAACCCTCGGTGGATTTAGGTTTGGGACAGTGATTGGTGGAGCAGCTGCTGACTGCTCTGAAGGATCGGTGACGAGCCATACACCCTCGGTCTCTTCGATACTGCCGGACAGGAAGATTACGACCGTCTCCGGCCGCTGTCATACCCCCAAACCGACGTCTTCCTCGTCTGCTTCTCCGTGACCTCACCCGCTTCTTTTGAGAACGTCCGCGAGAAATGGTTCCCCGAAGTACATCACCACTGCCCGGGCGTGCCCTGCCTGATCGTCGGCACACAAGTAGATCTGAGGGAGGACGCTGCAGTAAAAGACAAGCTCTCAAAACAGAGAATGGCGCCTGTAAAGAAGGAGGACGGCGAGCGCATGGCGCGGGAGCTTGGTGCGGTCAAGTACGTCGAGTGTTCGGCGCTGACCCAATACAAGCTCAAGGATGTGTTTGACGAGGTAAGCATATTGTACAAGATTGGTTGAAGTAAATGCTGACATATCCACAGGCGATCGTAGCAGCACTTGAGCCGCCAGCCGCGAAGAAAGAGGGCGGCGAGAGGAAGAAGGGCAAGAAGTGCATTGTCCTTTGAGATGCTTATGCGGCAACTCGAATAACCGCATGCTAGGGAGCGTTGGTTTGCAGATATTCTTTGATTAGGCGTGAATCTTTTGGATACCTCTCGAATACAGGCGCCATTGTGGGTAGTGTTCTCTTTCAATCTGCTCAGTTTCGTTCTATGCATTTTACTCAATCTCCCGTCAATTGCACGTTACGTTCAAGATGCAACAAGCAGACATATCTTGATGCTTGGAAAGGCAAGTAAAATGCAAATTAGGGGCTGTCCACTGCGCGCCTAGTGTAACCACTGAGTTACAGCGGATGCCATCTCTTGCTTGATCTCCTCTTGCAAGTCTGCTTCCCCACGTGGGCTACCCCTCTTTTAAGATGAGGTGAACGAGGAGCGCGTTTGCTGTCGTCACTGTTGTTGATGATGTTGTTGCCTTGCCGTTACGTCTTGCTCAACAACGCGATCTCTGTCGTGGACGAACCTCTGCCGCAACACCTCCGCAACGCGATAGCCTCCTCTGTTCTCTGACTCATGTGACTTTTGCTACTTGCAAAACTCGAATACTGACGCTTTGGTCGAGACAGGGAATTCTATCATTTCACGCTATTTGAGCTACGACCACTCCCGTTCGACTCTGAGTCTCTTCACCTGCTCAACTCCTCACACTTGGGACAGATCCCCACTTGGACAAAATCTTGCATCCATGGCGTACCAGTTCACCGAAGAGAAGAAGCGCCCGCCGCCGATTACGCTCCCGTTGCCGCCGCCTCCGCGCGCTCTACCGACCATCGACCAGCAAAGGCAGCAAGGACAGCGCTCTACCGACAACACGCCGCTGACCTCGCCTATTGAGTCACACACTCCAGCCTCGGGATCGGGCAGAAGTCGCACCGCCATGGCTACGTTCACCAATCTAATCGATCAGGCACGTTCTCCCCGCAAGTCAGATCACGGATCCTGGATGAGTAGCAATGCCGGCTCGACGGCACGTTCGAGGCAGTCAGGACGCAGTCAACATGAAGCTGTAGCTGCACAGGCCCAGATTGAAGCTCTTGACGAGGAGACGGCTAGAGGAAAGGTGGAATCTCGCGCTGAGAAGAACCTGTTCAAGATGACTGGTCAAGTTCCGCCCACTCCAATGATCGGTGAGTCTATGTTACTGTGTATACACTCTTGTGCTAAAATTTGCAGATTCGGCAAACGAGGACGACATCTATATCAGAACAGAAGACTTGCGACGACAGTGCCGGATCGCCAGTGGAGATCAACAGCCAGAACGCGAGGAGCCGCCCAAAAGCCCGAAGAAAAAGCTTTTCCAGAACCTCCGTAATACCTTTTCCAAGTCTTCTAGTGCTGCAGCTCCACCAGCAATGCCGAACAAAGCAGCGCAGATTTTGGGCACAGCATCACGTCAGGCCCGCATCATCCCAGTCCGCCCCATAAAGCCAGCGCGCCCTGTCGAATCCACCCCTACAAGGACTTCACGCTCAGACACGGTGAAGTCTCTGCCTGCGAAGGTCGTTAATCCTGACAGCTACGCCCATCGCCATCATAGCGGATCTTCGCGTCGCCATCGCACGAGTGGCCGTGGCTCACCGGGTAGAGGTAGCCTGAAGAAGCAGTCGTACAACGTAGAGAACACACGCCCCGTGCCTGATGTCAACGAATCGTCCGATTCAGTCATCCCGCCTTCACCACCAGCCAAGGATACTCCGCCACCAGCTGAGAGGCAGCCCAGCCCACTTCGCAGGGCTGCGCCAACGCGTGGTGATTTACGTGACAGCTATTCGGACTTCAACGACAACATCAGCCGTATTCAGTTCCCTAAGTTTGATCTGTCGCCCGTTCGTTCGTCATATATCCTGCCTGGACATGGTGGATCGAGTCCCGCGAAGTCCCGCCCATATACCGCAGAAGACTACACCAAGCTCATAGAGGATGGATCAGTGCAACGGCCCTACCCCAAATGGGACAGCTCGCCAACCAAGGCAGAAGGCAAACACCATGCTCCTTTGGCAGGTGCGGGCCTTGGCTCATTGCACCTTCCTCGTCCCGACCGCCTGAGGGAGGAGTGTCCGAACACAACGCAAGAGACCAACCCCGCCAATGGTCCCCATCTCCAGCCGCACTTCTATTCTCCATCCCGCATCACTCACTTTCCCTTCGCTGAAGGCGAGACACCGTCTAAGAATGTAAGTCCGTTATTGCTTCCAGGGCTCTTTCTCTCACCTTCCCGAAAAGTGGGGCCTGTCGTCATCTATCCCTTCAGCGTTTACTTGCCCAGCTACCTTCACACGCAGTACCCCGCTTCTTCCTCTAATGTGCTGGTACAAACGCTAATAACTCTATCAGTCTGACGAAACGCGCCTTCTCTACTCACACCCCGCAAGGTCACGGTCGGTGGTCCTCCACCCTCGCGAAGAGTCGGCCGACGGATCAATCAAGATGATCTTCCAAGGAGACCGCCAGGATATCGAGCCAAACTCTCCAACTGCTCGCGAAGTCGACGAAAACGAGCAGATCACTCATGAAGGCGATCGGCGTTCCGACATTGGCATCACAACCCGCGTCATGCAAGAATTGCGTATTGGAGAGCAGAATGAGAACCCACGACAAAGGAACGGCAATCTCGGTGATCAGTCCTCGTCAAGGCTGACTGATATGCTCAATACTGTCAGCCCAGGTCGCAGTGATTCGCACGGCGATTTCCAGCTTTACTGTCCTAGTGCCGTTCCCAGTCCGCTTCACAAGATTTCTGGTCCTCCGTTCTCAGCACGCGCGAGTGTGCCTTCCGGGTCTTACAGCGCAACTACCCAGCCGCTTGCACCCAAGACCATCGAGGACCACTTC